GCATGCAAATAGATTTGAGATGAGAATGAGATTGCCTTAATGGGTAAATGTTACAAAGACATTATTGGTGGCCTGAATGGATTTATGGAGCTCTCTCTTCTGAGGAAAAAGATAAAGGATGAAAGTTGTAAATATCACTAGCATTCTTTGCTTCTCAGCTTTTCAATTCCACACTTATGCTAACAATTTGGTTCAACAGGAAATGCTTGCAAACGTAAAATGACAACATAGTCCTCTGGAACTTTTCTGCAAACTTCATAAAAATTAAAGAAATCACAAAACATAGCTGACTTCAGTTGAAAAAGAACAGAAAACATGTTTTGTGGTTTCTATAACATTGTATTTTAAATAAAACTTGGGTATTAACATTCAAATTGTCATCTAAAAAGACTTCTAAACAAACATACTTTACTTTTATCTAAAAATATTTAATACTAGAAGAAATTATTTCTCTTGATTTCCAAGCAAATGCAGTAGTGTGGTGACATTGGCTTCTTCCATGGACAGAGACCATTTATGGTGGTGACCTGAACAGAAGCTGTCATTTAAAAAAAATATTACAGTATCGTAATTAGAAGCTTGGATAAAATGGTGGAGACCTAGATTCATATTTTCAATTAGCCAAATGGTTTACTAGCTGACTTTAGCTAGCCACCAATTATCTTAGAAGGTAGTTGTGAAGACAAAATGAAAGGGCAGGGTTCTTTGGAGGAAAAGCAGGGCACAAATGAAATAAATACATAAACAACCTTCTTCTATCAGAACTGCTGAATCAATAAAAAGGCATTGCCATCAGTAGTATGAGAAATTCTGGGGAGGCTGGGAAAGTAATGGAAGAAATGTTGGATATAAACAAGAGATAAGAAAAGAGTTAATTACTGAATGGGCGCTCTGTCCAGGCTGCATAAAGCCTGGCCAGAAGAGATTCCAACTGTTCAAAGAGACTCTGCCTTAATGAACCCACTAATAAATGGGAACTGGAAATTCTAAGACGGTTTCCAAGATTCTGTATCTTACCCCTAATCCTGATATTAAACACAACTTAAGGAAGTCTGTAATTCTTGTTTCTTTGTTTGTTCCTTGTCAAGAGGCTTGACTAAGTAGAAAAGACTGAATTGCCGGCTGAGCAAATTACCTTTCCCCTGCAGAACTGCTAGCTACTAGGACAGCACCTTAAACAGAAGCCAACTATAGCACATACACTTTGATTCTACAATGCACATGATACTGTAATATAATATTTAGCAGTCTGATAGTTATGCCTAAAAATACACTAATCCAAATTACATATTTAATAATAAGTTTGATCCACTAGGCTGGTTTCTTTAGCATTAGATCATCCCACAGTCTTTTTAAGGTTATGAAAAACACAGTATATCACTTGAAACAGAAGTGGAAGGGGTTCTTGAGAGCACTGAGTCCAAATCCTGTTCAGTGCAGGAAACCAAATTAAATTATCCCAGTTAGATGGCTGTCTAATCTCCATATGAACATAACGAAGGGGAGACTGCCATCTTTCTGAGTCATTGGTACTATTGTGAAACTATTGTCAAAATTCAGTTGAAATCTGCCTTTCTTAAACTTAAGTCCACTATTCAGCATCCTTTATTATGGTGTGTTAGACAATAGTTCTTGAAGACTACTATCATATCCCCCTTCAATCTTCTCAAGGCAAAAATATTTCCTTCACTCTCTCCTTATAAGGACTTTGTTTATTCTTGTTGCCCCATTCTGAATTTGTAAATTCTCTGAGTGCTTCCTGAAAGCGTGGTGCCCTAATTGGATAACAATATATGAGATGGGGTCTCACATACATAGAATGAAATGGAATGATTATATCCTGCAATTTGGAAACAATATTTCTCCTGATACAACCTACAATTGCATTTGCCTTTTTTGCAGCCACTTCACTCTTGCTGATACATATTTAGTTTGCAAACAAGTACTATTCCAAGGTCTTTTTCACAGATGGTACTGACAAGCCAGATACTCCCCAGTCTATACATGCATGTTTGAGTTCTGTTCTCTAAGTGAAGTACATCGCATTTCTGCTACCACAAATTTAAATTCTAATACACATAGTCCTCATTCAGTGACCACTCGTTAAGGGACCGTTCAAGTTACAACAGCTCTGAACAAGGCTTATGACTAGTTCTTGCAGTTGTGGCTATTACAGCGCCCCTGGTCACATGATCACGATTTGGACACTTGGCAATTGCTCGCAATTACAACATTGCAGCATCCTGTGGTCACGTGATTGTCATTTGCAACCTTCACTGCCAGCTTCCTACAAGCAAAGTCAATGGGGAAGCCCACAGATCACAAAGAGTGATCATGTGACTTCACACCTAATGACTGCAACTGGAACTGCCAGAACTGCCATTGTAAGTCTGTGTGGTCATGTGACATCGCACTTATGACATCACTTAGCGACAGAGTTCCCGGTCCCAATTACCATTATTAACCGAGGACTACCATAGCAGTTAATGCTCTTTGTTGTAAAGAGTGTAGGCATAGTGATTTTGTTTATCTCCATCTCACATAGTTGATACTCTCTTTCTAAGGTCCACAGATAGAACATATATATTAACCCTATCTTCTTGAAGGCTGATGCTCCCACAGACTATGGCCCATAAGGGAAAGTTTGAATAAACTAGCCAGTCTCCTCTTCTGACAATGCTAAACCTAAAAAAGGGGGTTCATCACAATATCTCAATGTAAACTTTGCCCTTAGTACTTGTATTCTGATGTCACATGCAAGTATATAAGAGGCAGCACTTGTGTTGTTGAGCTCATGTTTCATCATTCTGAGGAAATCTTGGCTTGCTGTAGATGCCTCTATTCTACAGGAGATCTTTTTATCATCTTTATTTTTCTGTGACAGTAAGGACAGAGGCTGTGGGACCCTTAGCTATGTCACATGCTGAGGTCAAGGGACAGGACACCAAGTAAAGGTATCTCCCTAGAATATAAGTGGTGGCAACAATAACTACCAAGCTGCATAGCAGGGCAGGAAGGCAAGGCCATGGTGGATAAAATTCAGGGGACTTTAGGAAGAAGAGAATTAAGACTTTTCACCTTTTATCCTTTGGGCTCATCCTTGCTGCTACACATGGGCTTACGGTGAGTGACTATCCTCAGGTCACCTGGTGTGTTCCATGCTCAAATAAGGACTTGAACCTGGAGCTCCCCTGTCCCACTCCAACACTTAAAATATTAGAGCATATGGGTTCAGTACACCACACTGAGGAGTAATGTCATTTTGCAATAGCATTAAAAGTAATGTTAATGTGAGTTTAGTTATTTTCACAATCACAAATTTATACATGTTTATAAAGTTTGGCAAAGATTTGGGTTCATAAATATAGCTGAAAGTCTGTTTTGCTTTCTGCTTGCATAATTTATTTCCTGCTTGTAACAGTCACTATTGTATGCACACGTTTTTCAGAACTGATACTGCACTCTGCTACCTGTAATGCAGAAAACCATAGGAAATCATGCAAAAGTACCTTTGCCAGGCTAATAGATGTTTCTTTATTTGCAGTGTAGTTATTTTTCCAAAGTAGAAAAGCCTAGCAATGCTTACTCTACATCTTTGAAGTATGACACAAACTTATATTTCCAGAATCCGAGGTTTAGCCTACAATCCAATGCATGCTTTCCTGGAATAAGCTTTTGTTAACACTGTAGTTCTTATTTCCAAGTAAACATGTTTTAGGATTATGCTGTACAAAATTCTGAGCAGCTACTTCAATCAAATAAGAGAAGCTTCTGTTCTCTCACCCCTTAGGATCAAAACTGGAAGATCAATAAAAAGTCTACTTTTAACATGGCTAATTTAGTTAATTGCATGCACCAGTACATTTTAGTGCAGTGTTCATGTTAATTCATGTACTGTACCTGTGGATAGCACACTGCCATGCTGCATGTTAATGAAAAAGATACAAGACAAAGAAAGTTAGCTTTAAAACATTTATGAGAATAACCTGTGTGACACTGTATACACAACACTGCTGTAGTAGAACTTGTAAGCACGATTAGATATATTTTCCAATAAATGTTTCATAAGCGTTTCTAATATTTAAGGAATTATGTCAACCTGGTATTCCCAGCATTAAATTCTTCTGCAGGCACAATTCAATCAAAATTAATAAATCCTATTGATTTCAAAACATAAGCTAATTCTTTGGCAGTCATTGGGACTATAAAATGCTCAGTATTGTTGATTTCATCTGAGACATTTTAATTTTCTTAAACTTCTTTCAAAATGCTTTTTGTTAAAACAATCCTGCTGTCTTCAATAGCTACCTTCTCCATTTGGGCGATTAGCTATCAAAAAGTTTCCCTGTTATGGAATTCTGACCTCTTAACTTTTCATTGGACACCAAATCTGATGTTCAAGTATCAAGGGAAAAAAATGAGGGACGTGTGCAATTAATAGCTTGGGTTCTTTGTGGCTTTTCTGATATTAAATGGCTCAGCAATATTGCTGCATTTGAATTTGTTATTGTTTTGCAATCTTGTATTCCTAGATAAATATTTATATATTACACTGTAAAATGTCTTGATAATTAAATGAAAGCCAGGATTAAATTCCTGTTTCCTTGAAACTAAATCACATTGACATTCAATGAATTTACTTCCTGTAAAGTATGTTCTAAGTGGAGCCTTGAACTCTTGACATATAAGAATCTGGTCTTTATTATACAAATTGAAAACTATAAATTTCGTCCAAAAATATATTATGCAATCAGCTTTTAGCTCTAAAATCAGTACTACTATATGAAGATAAGTTTCTTTACAAATAATATACAATCCTATATGATAAATCCTTAGAAAGTTCAACTCAGAATATGACTTTCTTATCCACACTACTAATACAGAATATTTATAGAAATATTTTTTTCTTGTGCTAAAAAGCATTTTGAAAATTCAGCAACAGCATAATAATATTTGGAATGTAAGTATAATATTTCTAGATGTACATATATAGTACTTACGCCGTTTGGGGGAAACTGCCTGCAAGGAGGCTGTTACAATATCACAATTCTTCTGCACTTTATGTAAAAGTCTGTCTTTTTGTTTCAGAAGTCGTAGCAGTTTTGCTGACTGAACACAAATTCTATAATTCAACTCCCGTATTACAGTTGTCAATTCACTAATATCTGTAAAGGAAAGAAAAAAGAAAATAAGGCCAAAGGCTGCAATCTGTAACTTGAAAATCTGTTTTCCTCTTTGATAATCGGTATGGTTTTCTTTGAAAGGGTCTTATCATAACTACTGTAGATACCCTTGGAGAAATTCTTAGCATGATCGTACGGTAATATATACTACGAAATCTTAAGAAAGAATACTGTGTAAAATCATAGGTATCAATTTTATTATTTAGGATCACTCTTGTGTTAAAATATATAGTATAAGAATTTAAAACCAACTGTTCAAACAATAGAATAAAAGCCAATGCAACCATTAATTGAAATCATATTCAAATTCTCTCTACAGCTTTGAATATATTCGTTAGCTTGAGACACATGTGTTTCATTACTGAATTATTACTCAGTGTTATATATCTCCTTAAGAAGGAAACTATAGAAATATTAAACTACTTGCTGAGTTTAACTGAAGCCACATGAAATGAATAAGCCTATTTATTATTGGCACATGATAAATTTTTAGAGAATCTGTATTTTACCAATACTTCTTTAATTATAAATTTTTCAAATATTCATCAGCATAATAATTTTTTACACAATGATAAGCATGGAATTCAATTACTTTTGCTCCAAGAGTGGTATGTATAGAATTACATTCTTAGCTTATTGGATCATTATGATTTAAAATTTTCAGATATAAAATACTCATTTTAAGTTTTCTTTAAAAATCATCATACGGAGTAATTTGTAGCAATATTAATTTGCCAGAAGGTTTAGAAGCTACATGTAACAAAAGACAATATATAATGCAATGTGGTACTTTACAGAATTCTACTTTACTCATTAAACAAGAAGGCTGTACAGTACTTAAAACCATTTTTCAAAAATTGACCATGTACTCATAAGACACCCTCTAGTGGGCAAAAGCAGGTATCAGACTGATTTTTAAATCAGCAGATGGAGACTGTTCATGAAGTTAGCTAAAACAAATAAGGAAGAGGTTTTATCTCTAATAAGTAACTGCAGTTAATAGCCATACTAAATCAAACTCATCATTCATTGATTAACAAAACCCAAAATTTTATGATGGGGGGAGGAAAAGCAGTACCAACACACACACCAAAAATATAACAGAAAAAAAGGATGTTTTCTGCACCTTACAGGAAATATGATATTAAGAAAAATTGCAGCACAAACTTTACTGAAAAGATGCTTTAAAGGTTCAGTACTGAGTTATATTCTAATGAAATATGTTAACTAACAAGAGGTTAACAGGAGAGCACTGCTTTTAGAATTTCAGATCCTTAGGGAAATCTGAGTGATCACACACATTTCTATCAGGAGAATGATAATTCTTATACTTTATACAGTGCCTTTTCAGCATTTAAGCTGTTTCACATGAATCATCTTGGTGATACTTGTAATAACTCTGTCAGGATCACGATGTCACTGTTGCAGATGGGGAAGAGAACAGTGGCTTGCTTAATGCATTTAAATATTTGAATCATCACCTTCATCTAAAAAGACTTTCCATCACTATCTGCCCAGAGATGATGATGAAGATAAAGATAATAATAATAATAAAAACCAACACAGAAGGAAACAATAATTGAGAGAAAGAGAAAATCCAGGTACCAATCCTTAAAGGTCACCGCTTAGGTGCAATGTATACTAGGGACTTCCTGATTTGTACTAACACTCAGCTTTAATGCTAAATCTTATTGGCTGCACTCCATTCAATTCCATTCCTTTTTTGGGGTGGAGTTTATACATGTAGGATAATAATGCTTTTTGCAAAACTTAGAAACTAATCAATTTTCAAGAAAGCAACTTGGATGATGAGAGGAGCAGAGAAACGGGAAAAACTTTTCTTATTAGTCCACGTTGAGCTCTTTTTTCATCCCACCTTTGGGGGGGGGTAGAGGCAATCTCTGCTTAACTGAGAGAAATTGGGGCACAATAAGAGTTTTCAAAATCTATCAGAAAACTAAGAAAATGAAATACTGTAAGAAATGAGAAAGTAAAATCTTTCCTTGAACACCATATGCCTCAATTTACTGAAACACTTCAAAGAAGAGAATGAGAGCAAACAAAGAAGCAGGAATCAATAAGGTTTAAACTGTAACCTCATTTTTGTAATCAAGACATTAGACTCTGTTGCTGTATTTATTGCCTTTTATCTCAAACTGAGTTTCTACAGCCTGGCCATAAACTCATATCCAGGACTGGGCATTTACTTATATTTTAGTGGGGCTGTCTGCCTTCTCATCTTCTAGCAGGGCTCTGTTTATCATAATCACATCTTCATCTCTTCTCTGCCTGCTCCAGATGGCTCACATGCTTGCTTCCCTTGCTTTTATTCCCAAAACGACCACCCTGCGAAGTTGGGCCGACTCAGAGCCCCAGCCCCTGGGTGAAACAGAGAAGCCGGGTCCCCTGCTCCTGCCTTCGTGTGCATAGCAGACGGAGGAGCGCTCCCGCACGGATAGGCGACACGGGGCCGGGTGGAGGGGAGACCTCGGGGGCATCCTTGGTCCGCTTTACCTTTCCGAGCGAGGTACTTCCTCTGGTGCCGCTGACCCGAGTTCCGCTGCAGCTCCTGCAGGACGCGGGACTCGGCGCTGCTGCCTCTCCCCCCGGGGAAGGCGTCGGAGCCGGCGGACGCCTCCGTGGAACTGTCCACGCTGTCGCGGTGGCGAGCGCGCGCCACGCTGTAGAGCTCGGTTAGCAGGCCACTCACCAGAGAGGAGGCGCGGCTGGCCCTTCTGCTCCGGCCGGGATCCTGCTCCGCCTCCTCGTCCTCCGCCGGGCTGCCCGCGTTGCTGCCTACCCTGCTCCGAACAGGCGGCTCCGCAACGCAGCTGCGCGGTTCTGCCTCGGCCAAGTCGACCTCCGCGAGCTCCATGGGGCTCCTTCTCCGGTGCCTCGGACGCAGGGCTTCGCCGCGCTCTCGCCGCTGCTAGGCGAAGGAGGGGAGCAACGCTCTCGCCGCCTGCACAGCTCTCGGGCCGGAGTTCCGGGTTTGTCCCATTGTCCACGGAACGGAGGAGGAGGAGGAAGGGAAAGCGTGATCCCGACGGAAGACCTGCGCCTGCCGAGCGTCACGCGCCTCCCGGCCTCGGCTGCCTTGCATTCCTCACCCCTCTGGCAGGGTAGTGGCTTCCAAACCCCCAGCGCTCTGCACCTGTTGCAGGGAGCCAATCAGCTCTCTTCGAGTCACCGCTCCTTGGCTAACTTCAAAGGGAGCTTCCCGCTGTAGTAGATGGGTTCGGCCGGTTTCGTGCTGACCAGTTCGGGCTCCATCTAGAGCAAGTGGTCCAGGCTTCACACTGAAACTGGTACCAGTAGCAAAAACAAATGATTATTTTTCAGCTAATGGCCGTGCTGAACCTGTGTAAGTTTGAATTTTGCAAAGGAATACCATGCACCCAGTAAAAAGTGAATGGGCAGGAAAACAGTAGCTTTCCTTGCAGTACATAACCTAAGGTTAATTTAACAATTATTTACTTAATGAATGCAATTTCTCTGGCTACATGCAACATGTTAGGTTAAATGTGATTGGCCAAGCTATAGTGCAGTGCACTGTGTAAATCCAGCCAGTGTGATAGTTTAGTTTGATGTGCTGTCTAAACCCAGATTATCAAGTTTATCATGGGTAAATTAATAAAGGATAAGCACATTGTACAAACACAGCCACTAACTGCCATAAACTAACAACATAGGCAAGGTTCATTCCAGCTAAACATAACCATGCCAGCTAAAATAATTTTTTTAATACATGCAAAAAAGTTACCTCTGCAGGCATGAAGAAGTAGCCACTTACATTCTCTCAGTTATAAAGCTAGCTTGGAATAGGAATTCTTGGGCTACACAGGCAAAACTTATTTACCCATAGTTAATTTAAACACAATTTATTCAACACAACGTTCAGGGATTGTGTGACACACTGGATCATAAACTTACCACATAGATTAGGGTGAGTTACATGTTTAGCTAGTTTGTGGATTCAGCATCTCATATAAATATAGGCCTTTTAAAGAAAAAAATCCAAATACAGTATTTTATAAATTGACAAAGTTAAAAACAAGCATCACTTAAACAAAATCTGGAATCATAATTGTTACTAGTTTGTGGCAACATAATACCTCACTTTGTATCTCACACTCTCTACTTCCCTCACAGTTTAAGGCTGTGTTCACAAAATACATTGAATCCCAGATTATCCAACCTCTTTTTAACCTAGTGAGCTGTGTTCAGTATGTTATGGACAGAGCAAACCATAGTTAACCAGAAGTAACTCTGTCATGCAAATACAGCCTAAGAGTTATTACTCCAAGCATACATCTTGACTGGAAGAATGACAGATCAGGAAACATCCATTTATAAATGGCTGATTCTTTTTCATGGCTGCTGATTAAATAAACAAAGAATACCTAACAGCTATAGCAGGGTTCCTCAACCTTGTTGACTTGGAGATGTGTGGACTTCAACTCCCAGAATTCCCTAGCCAGCATCTCCAAGTCAAGAAGTTTGAGGAATCCTGAGCTATAGCAAGCTCTCTGACTGTGGCTGAGACTGCTTGAAATGCGCAAAATTCTCCATTCCGGATGGGTGATTTTAGCTATAAGAAATACACTGATTAAATAATGAAAGGGGTTTTGTTGGCAGCATGCAAGATTGTTTAGCATGGAACTGCTATTATTAAAATAAAATAATAATGTTTTTCTTGAGTACTTTTCTGTACACTTCTTTAGTTCCAGAGATAGCAGAAGCTGACAGACAGCTATTTGAACCTGATAACTGTCAAAATCTGCTTCTCTCTCTCCTTAGGAACAAAAGTGATAAAATATTTATTGATAGGATGTCAAATATGGCTATTTGGGCAAAGTACAATGTTTTACATACTATTTTCTTTCCTTAAAAGACAGAAGCATAAATGACAATTTGAACTTTAATGCTCCCCAAATAATTCTTGGCAATTATATGTCCACTCCACTGGGAAGCCATCTCCCCTTTTTAAAACTTTATCCTGTTTGTGATTAAAAGGCTGCTTTAAGGTCAAATTTCAGTTTCTTCTGTTTTATTTCCAGTTTGAGAGGCAGAGAGGTTTAATATATGACACTTTCTGCACAGTATGAGCAGCATTTAAATTGAGCAGATTATAAATAGAATTTATAGAGAGCAATTAGAGGCCTTCTGTCTTCAGCCTCAGATTTTTCATCTTCTTGGACTCTCCTTCCCCTTTTTAGTAAAGTTTTTAATCGATGTTTTATGTATTTATATTTATGTTTTTAATGTTTGTTGTGAGTCGCCCAGAGTTCCCCCATTGGGGGGAGATGGGTGGTTGAAAAATTAATTAATTAATTAAATAAATAAATAAAATTACCATCTTGGCTTGTTGCAGCAGAAAAATGTAAAGATGTAGAACCTTATTCATACTAGACAATAAAAGTCTGTAGGCTGTCCCACACAACACAATCCAGTGCATTAATAATTTCTTGAGGAAAAAATGCACAACATTGTCCTCTACCCAACCCCTACTCACTTAGAAAGCAACCTCCATCTGCTTTTTCCTACCACAAAACCAAAACACAAAGCAGTTGTGTCAGATCGAGTTGTCCATCTGCCTCACTTCATTTCATTGTAGGCAAATGCCTCCACCCCTGATTGCTCATTGGAAGGATCGATAATGAAGCTCAAGCTCAGATACTTTGGTCAC